AGTGGGTGAGAGAGGGAAAAGAAGAAAGATAAATCAAGAAATGACATTTGAAAGGGTAGTAAAATCTTAGCTTGACAACTGGTTATAAAGTTATAGCACAGACTAATACATAAGAATTCATTTTTTGTACTCCAATTTTATGAACTTGAGGGGCAGGAAAAAAGATTCCTAGTGAGTATGATTCATTCTTTTTTCATTAATAGAAAATACAGCTCATCAAAAATTTGAGAAGCAATGACTACAAAAAGAAATAAACCTATTTCCCTATACTCAAAATAATAATGCTTTAGTCTTATAAAGCCCTTCTCATGAACTTGCACACATAATTCTACTAAACATAAATATACCAGCACTTTTGAATAGTAATATTTTGCTGTTTACAAAACAAAGACTTTTGAGCCATACAATTTGTGAATTTAGACAGTTAATGCCACAAATCTAAATTTTTTTTTTTTTAAGTTTTCAACTGTACTCTAAAATTCAAAATTAAATTTTCTCTTGAAATTATATCAAGCATCTTCTCAGACATTTACACCATGGAATATTATGCAGCTGTAAAAACGAAGGATCCCGTACCCTATGAGACAGGCTGGTAGGACCTGGAGAGTATTACGCTAAGTGAAAGAAGCCAGTTAGAGAAAGACAAGTATCACAAGATCTTACTCATATGTGGAATCTAATGAACAAAATAAACCGATGAATAAAATAGATCCAGAGACATAGAAGCATGGAACAGACTGAGGGATCTCAGAGGGAAGGCAGGGGTGGGTGCGGAGAGATTAACCTAAAAATTTATATGCATATATGCATAACCCACGGACACAGACAATAGTGTGGTGAAAGCCAGGGGGGGAGGGGATCAATGGGGGGAAAAGGGAGACACCTGTAACACTTTAAACAATAAAGGAAATTTTAAAAAAAATTTTTAATAATAAAATCCTGTAAAAAAAAAAAAAAATTTAATCTTCTCTTTAAATGTTCAAATGACCCTGAACTCAAATGACCCCAAAATCCTGCCAGAACCAAAGTACACAAATAACAGCATAACCTGCATTTTAGTTTTTGATTACACCCTTTTTATACAACACTACCTTAAACTCCCATGGGACCATTCTTCCTAGCTCTCCTCCTCCTCCTTCCCACTGCAGTTGTGGACACCACTTATAAATCAGTCTCTTTTTCTGTCTTATTTTATATTTAACTCCCCTAATCACAAGGATTCATGTATCACCCACATGAATTTGTATCTGTCCAAATCTGACTTTAACTTATTGGGGCACATTTATTTAGCAATCATATTTAAACTCCTCCCCCCCCATCCAAAAAAAATTCTCAAAATAGATGCTTCATCAATTAGCATCTATCCTAAAAATGCCAGATTCACTACTCTTTCCTTTACAAAGTCCCTAGTATTGTCCTTTCTTTCCATTTCCCCAGCCACCAGCCTCTCCAGGTCATTATCACCCACATGTATTATGTCAATAGCCTCTTAGCTGATCGTCCTAACCTCTCCACACTTTATCCAACAAACACAAAGAGCTGCCAGAAGTCACCACTTCAATTTGCCCACTCAGAAACCCACAGTGCCTCCCCACTGTTTCAAATCCAAACTCCTTGGCCAAATGGTCTACGTAGTTACAGTGTAGAGGCACTTTTTTAAAATCACCTAAGTAAACAGATTTTTTTCCTTTAACTTCTTAACAAACATAGCTGGGCAAGCCAATTTGATTGCTCTACCAGAGCTATGCATTTGCCTTCACTATTCTTGAGTCCCTCAACCACGAACAGTTAGAAATGTAATGGGTCTCAGAGAGGATTCAAGCTTTGGCTCAATCCTCCCCTTTGATTATTCAACTTGGTGTCTAATACTAAACTAAAACAAGTATACACATGGCACACGGAAAATAGTCCTTAGTGTTGGGTAAATATGTTAAATGCTAAAGAAACGTGTAGTTAGTATATCTTTTTGTCTCCTATTAACTCTAAAATATTAACAAATCATATACATCTAAAATAAAACTGTTTCTAAACAATGCCCTATAGCTTCAAGTAAGTATAGTTTGAAGTACTCAAGACAGAAATTTTTTTTAAAATCTAGTATGTTGCCCGGCAGGCGTGGCTCAGCGGTTGAGTGTCGACCTGGGATCCAGGAGGTCGTGGTTGTTTCGATTCCCGGTCAGGGCACAAGCCCGGGTTGCGGGCTCAATCAATGACTCTCTCATCATTGATGTCTCTCTCTCCCCCTCCCCCTCCCCCTCCCTGAAATCAAT